GTCTTCTCAATTCAAAGGGCCCCCTGCCTGTCTTTGCCTAGGGCCCCAAATTTCCTATATCCGCCCCTGGTTCCTAAATATCTGCCTTTTTAGGATAAATAATGTTCTAGGGTTGAATATGATGTTTGCACAAACATTTAGAGTTTGAAAAAACAATATTTGGAAAAGGAAGAAATTAGCTTGACTCTACTGTCTGTCAGATACTGACGAGTTTTTCCACCCAAACACAAGTTTGAAGTTGTTGTCCTTCATTAGAGTCCAAATTAGAGGTCTCAGTAGACATCTTAATGTCTTGTTTTTCTCCTCCTGTCAGTGCTGCGAGACGACGAGCATCATGCAACCTTTAAGGATAATGCACAATCATTCAGAAATACATTTTTTTTCTTCAGAATTTCATTTAGGATAATCCAGAAAACATCTTGCATGTTTACTCAGATGCACAAAGCAGGAAGGGATAGAGGTGGTGTTACTGCCGGGAACATGTCTAGATTTCATGCTCAGCCAAGCAAACGGTCTGATGGCATTAACCACTCGCTGTTGTCCTCTTCTCTCATCCCACTCTCCTTCTTGCCCCTGTCATTGCTCTTTTCCTTGCATCCTTTTCCAGAGAGGCCAGAGAAGAGGGAGAACAAGTGTCCCACGCCGGGGTGTGATGGAACCGGTCATGTGACTGGTCTTTACCCCCACCATCGCAGCCTGTCAGGCTGTCCGCACAAGGACAGGATCCCCCCAGAGAGTGAGTTTGGCTTTGTCTTTCATCTGAATGCTGTTTCCTGAGAGGGAATTTCACAGAGAAAGAATCATACCAGCCTATTTGTGGTTCAAAAAAGACATTTCTGGGCGTCACTTTTTTAAACTGTAACTGCCTTTTACTTGAATTTGACTCCATACATGCAGCATTAATGGTTTAGATGGATGGCAGATGTGTGGGAAGATGTTTAACAGCTGGTTTTTGGAAAATAAAATGTAGTTTACATGTATCAGTCTGATGTGAGACTCGTACGTTGGGTTTGTTACCAGCTCTACGTTTATGAAGTTGTTTAGATTGTGTCGTGATTTTCCTGAATCTGTGATTCTTCTGCTCAGTTCTGGCCATGCATGAAAATGTGCTGAAGTGTCCAACTCCTGGCTGCACTGGTCAGGGCCACGTAAACAGCAACCGCAACACACACCGCAGGTATCCCGTCTGTGCAGTCGTTAATCTGTGTCCTTTATAAGCATTTCTGCAGGACAGGCTTTTGCAGTTTATCATTTCCCTTTGTGTCTGCATGTGCATGCATGCAGGACAGCAAATGTGTCAGCCAGCATCAGTGTGATGTGGATGCATGTCAGCAGCTTGGTGATGTTTTTGAAATTCATCGACATTCCTGTCCCTCCGTCCTCACAGTCTCTCTGGATGCCCCATCGCTGCTGCTGAGAAGCTTTCAAAGACCCATGATAAGCAGCATCTCTCTCAGCTGGGCGGCGAGCATCTCAAAGGAAGCCCCAATGACAGAGTGCTGAGGTGGGTCATCAACAGCCGCTCTGTTCAGATCCAGAACTGAGTCTGTTTAACACGGTTTTAAACCCAAACCTTGCTGCAGTAGCCACCCGCTACCCACAGAGGGCGACACTTTTACCGATATATCAACAATAGCTCCATTTAGGCCCAACTAGTATGGTGGATTGATTACTATATAAGTTTGCCAACCTTAAATTTGTATAAAAATCACATTTAGTTGTATATTAAGAGACTAACATTTTATTCCTCTAAAACTCGTATGTACATTTAATGTTAAGTTTACTTAAAAATGAAACTTAAGACCTCGTAGACAGTAAGTGGCTTGCGCTCCCCATTTCTCCTTCTGTAATGTTTGCCAGCAAACTACCAGGTCTGCTAATGCTAATGCTAATGCTAACCAAATCGAGCATTTCATTTACCAGCTCAGAAGAACAGCGGCCATTTGCTTCCTTAAAGCCAGGCGTATATGGAAGTAAATCTTTGTCGCTGGGATTTGAATTAAAAATGCCTGAAATTTAAATGTTGTATGTTTGTACTTCCTGTTTCAGTGTTAAAATACATTCAGAACACATTTTTGACCTAAAAAAAACGAATTGTCATTATTTCTACACAGTTGAAATTTCATTTGTTATTTTCTCTTCAAGCTAAAAATTCACATTACTATTTTACAGTGATTACATTTTCAATACTTATTTTTCAGTTTAATTTTTCAGTGTTAAAAAAATCTGCATATAAAAAAAATTCAACCTCAATATTTTCAGCCTCCTGAGATTCAACTGGCTCTATTTCACCGTCTTAAATTCGGCGTCTAAATTCAGTGTAAAAAGGGAAGGGTTACTTCAGGTCACAGACATTAGCAATGGATTGTGGCGTCCAACACCCAGCCAATCCCGTTACGGTTTATTAGTCACGTGACGTGACGCTTGTGGCGCTCATACTGAAGGAAAACCAGCATCACGGAGCCGGTCATGCAAGCTAACGCTAACTCAGCTACAGAAAAATGAAAGTAATAAACTCACCGTTGAGTTAGGCGTACACTGTACGATTTTTTCAATTGTTGCACGCAGCTACGGCTCACACTGTAAGATGAAACCGTAGCGATAAAAAGTTCACAGCTCACCATGTTTGTTCCAACACTGTGCGACCCGACGCCCTGACGCCAAACGTGTAGAAGAACATGAAGCTCACTAGAGTGAAACGCGCTGCCTTAGCTATTTGTGCGATTCTGCGCTGAAAGCCCTAAAAAGAAAAGGCAACGACGTATTTGGACAAAGACATGGCTGAGCTAACGTGGCTACTACGGTCTGTCAGTTTGACAGGAAGAACTCCATTTCACTCATTGCCCCCCCGCCATGCTGCTGGGTTTACATCTGAGAGGAAGTAGAAGAAGAAGAGTATGACGGCCGACTGAATTTCAAACATGTTTGATTTTCTCCCGACCTTATGATTCCTGATGGGGAGGTGGTCGTTAGAGGCTGATCGCCCCTCGTTACCTTCTGTATATTTCACAACGCGCCATCAGGCTGAAAAATCACCCCAAAAAGGGTAAAAAAAATCGCACAGTGTAGGAATGTTCTGTCAGATGAGCATACCCCATCAGACCAGCATACCTATAGTCAATACCCATGCGCAAGACGTCAGAGTTGCCTTTATCCTTTTAGTTTGGTACGAAAAATAGACTTTAAACTACCTAAACGGGCGTGCATCCCTTTTGTCAAAAAACCAATTCAAGGTCAGATCACCATACGCTTCAAAAAACACCAAAAAGTAAGTAATCAAATAGTTTTTTTTTGCCCATGCCTAAAGGGAAACACGCCCAGTGAGGTAGTATAAAGTGTATTTTCCTTCCAAAACTAAAGGGATAAATGGGTATTGACTCTAGGTATTGCTGGTCTGACCGGCTCCAACACCCAGAAACATGACAGTTCATTTTAACTTCACTTAAAGCTTTCAAGAAATCAATGTTTGTATGGTTTATTTTTACTATTTAGCTACAGCACTAACTAGGCTGATAAGTTACCATTATTTTCAGATATTTGTCATTAGCTAGTAGCCTATAGCCTAGTTAAATTCTAAGGCCAGACTGGATCCAGCTCGTCTCGGAGGTCTTTGCCAGGTTTGCTGGTGCTCTGCAGACCTTAATCAATTCTGTCACATTAAATCTTAAGGTCTCCATATCTTCAGTCATCTCTCCAAACCAGCTTGGCAGCGTGATCACAGCAGAAAGAATGATAATTAGCACAAAGCAGACACCAGCATAATGCTGTGTCCATGCTCTCCCTCGCTGGTATTTTAATTAATAATGCAGCTGATATGCTAATAATGAAAGTTATAGGGGCCTTGCAGAAGGATGGGGAAAATAATTGCCTTCCTAGAGGAAAACATCACCAGACGGACAAAGCATTGGATTAAAACGTAATAAGCTTTGTTTTCTTTCTTCAGATTGTTATGTAAATGAGCTTTCCGTCCATCATATTTATGTCAGATTCCTGCCGTAGTTCTCATTCTAACGGTATTCGTGTTGATTTGATGCAAAGACAAAAGAAAATCCTCGTTGACGGCTGCTAGGAAGTTAGTTCCTCCTTCGCCCTGCAGGCCAGGTCATGGAGCTGATTAATGTCCATACGGTTAGAAGGGGGAAAAAAGAGGAGCGTTTTTTTCTTTCCCTCCTCCTCTTCCTCCTCCTCTTCCTCCTCTCCCCAGTCTATCAGTGGATTTACGCCAACAGGTTTGACAATAGCCTGGGCTCTCCAGGAAAATGAGAGGGCTTAACGCTCATAAATTCCATGCTGTACAACATGCAAATGTGCCCTCTGCTGATAAGAGAGCTTTTAATCCTGCTGCACTCCTGCTAAGTACACTGCAGCTCCTATCTTTACTCATTCTCTTTCATTCTACCTATTTTCACTCATTCTTCATCTGTTTTATTCAGTTTTTCTCTCCTCTTCTCATTCTTTTTTATTTCTTTCTCCATTTAATCAGCTGATGTGCCGTCTCTCCCTTTGGCTCTGCAGGCCCATGTGCTTTGTGAAGCAGCTGGAGGTGCCCCAGTATGGCAACTACAGGCCCAACATGGCCCCCTCTACACCGCGCGCCAACCTGGCCAAGGAGCTGGAGAAGTACTCCAAGGTCTCCTTCGATTATGCAAGCTTTGATGCCCAAGTGTTTGGGAAGCGCACGCTTGCTCCAAAGATGACCACCAGCGAAACGTCACCAAAAGCCTTCAAAAGTAAGACAGCGTAAACAGTCTTTGTGTCGTTTGTTTTTTTGCAATTTAAATAATGCATACAACGCAAAAAATAAATTCTACTCACCAAAACATAAAAGCTTTAAAGAAAAATCCTAACATTTATTTTATTTCTAAATGAAGGGGAGTTTGTTAGTCGGCCTTGTTTGTCAAATTCGTCACAGAGCGCTGAAACAGACACTGAAACCAAAATATTATCTGTAAAATCTATCTTTTTATTATTCCATTAATCATAAAACAATATGAAGGAAGTAAATAGAGAATATTTTTTATTCATATTAGTATGTTTTGCATAACTGAGAGATGCAACGAGTTTTATCACCAACCAATATTCTGGATAAATCTTTTTTTCTTTAAATTATTCTCCGTTTTTGTCTCATTTTGTCCTTTTGAATCAACATTTAATTATCAATTAAACATACAGTCCTCATCGTCTTTATCTGACCCATCTAAGGAGAGAAAATAGAAGATGTTTGGACAAAGGTCAGAGGTCAATGAGCGAAGTTTTGACCGCAAAGGGTCAGAATTTGGTGCAAAGATGAAAACATGGATCAATTCTGCCTGGATTTCAGAGGCTTAGGCTGCTAGTGGCGTCAAACAGTTCAGGTGATATCTGAGTTCACAGACAGCAGATCGGATTCTGAAGCCCCTCCCCCGTGTGAGCTCATCCTGCAAAGGTAGCCGTCTATCAAAGGGCAGCAAGATGCATTCAATTCTATTCAGTTTATTTCTATAGCGCCAATTCACATCATGTCATCTCAGGTCACTTTCCAGTTCACCAGATCATCCAGTCAGATTGATTCAATGTTTTCTATCTAAGGAAAACCAGCTGATTGCATCGACTCATTGACTCTTCAGCAATCCCTCACACTAAGCATGCTTGTAGCGACAGTGGAGAGGAAAAACTCCCAGCTTTCAAACAGGAAGAAACCTCCAGCAGAACCAGGCTCAGTGTGAGCGGCCATCTGCTGAGGCCCACTGGGGTTCAAGGAGACAGAAGCAGACATAGAAAAAGAAGCATAGATACAAAAGGCAACTGTCAACCAGCTCCACAGGCGGCCCCGTCCAGGAAACACACAGCCAGGCAGACGAGCTCCGAGCCAGCTCCCATGTCAGAGGATGAAGAGAGCACATCCAGTTAGTCACAGTCAGAGAAACAGGACTACACTGGAAAACAGGCCAAGCTCCAACATCTAGAAACAAAGGTGTTGATGGCAGCAGCACAGCTGATATTGCTCTCCAGGATGGAGTCACAGCCAAACAGGAACAGACCAGATGAAGCTACTATGAGAAAAAGCAGAGAGAGCAGAACGTTAGAGATTGAACTAACAGATTCTGCAGAGTGGGAGAATAGAGATAGAATGAAGCAGAATGATGAAAAAGGGGTCCCTATGTCCTCCAGCAGGCTAAGCCTATAGCAGCAGAACTATAGAGATAGCTCTATGATGCTTCTAAGTGGAAATAATAAAGCTGCAGTCATATTACTTTATTAATTATTCAGGGATCTGTTTTATTTTCTTGCTCTAATGGTGGATTCTGGAAACATTTCTAGAGTTTTCTTTCTTTGGTGAATTAAAAATAAAGTTTGTTTCTTCCCTCACTGTCAGATCTAACTGTCTGTCTTCCTGCAGCCAAGCCCTCCTTCCCCGAGTCGTCCTCTCCCACCCTGAGCCTCCACGCCTACGGGAAGAGCTCCTCCCTCCCCTACGACTACTCCCATGACGCCGAAGCCGCTCACATGGCTGCCACCGCCATCCTTAACCTGTCCACCCGCTGCTGGGAGAAACCTGAGAATCTCAGCATCAAGCCTCAAAGCAAGGTACTCTCGTCAGCAGCCCATCCTGGATGGGTTCTGTCTTCATGTTTTAGAGGCGTAATGAAGCAGATGCTCCTCCTCAGCCCTCTGAGCTTATTTAAACATTTGAAGAGACGCCCTGGTGGTGTTTGCAGCGGGATCATTAGCAGAGCGTCGTTCAGATAAAAGATTTCAGGCCACGGCTGCTGGGACTGGAAGGGTTAGCAGTGGGTGTGCCTTCCCCACTCCTTCCACATCGTCTCTGCATGAATGCATCATCAGGAGGCTTTGGCTTCCAGCAACACAGCGGCGTTGAGATTCGGTTGCATCACCTCCGTTATCCTCGCTCATCGTTTCATCCCTCCATCACACACTTTTCATGTTGTTATTAAATTTGGCTGACTGACACTTCACTTCCACCAGGTAGCCCCTCCCCCTTCTTTCATTTTTTCTTAGCATCTCGACCATTTTCTCCTTAAATAAGGTGTTTTTTTTTTCCTCTCACTCATTTCCCTCCAGTTGCACAGGAGGCCTTCCTTTCCCTCATATTGTGATTTCTGAAGGCCTTTTTTGTTTTGCTGAGGAGAGAAAGTCGCTGCTTTATTTTATTTCTATTTCCTAACATCGTTTTGAGATAATAAAGAGAAAATCTGTGTTGATGGCAGCTAAGCAAACCGAGGTGTTATTGAGCAAGGCGCTGATCCAAGCGCAGGCCGAGCTGCACCAATCAGCTGGGAACTGATCTGGAATCAGAGTCGGAGTCAGTTAAAATCCGATTCTGGAAGAGCGGAACGCCGTGCTCATCCACCTGGGACCCGTCTGGGAATGGTTCCAGCGCTCTTTCCCTCGCTCACGGTGCTTTGATATTTTTAGATCTTGACCAGGCTGTGAGAGCGTTCCTCCTCCGTTCACCCCTGGCTCTCTGTTCGCCTGCCAGCCCTAAAATGAAGCGAGGAGTTTCCAGCTCTCTGTCGGCGCCACTGGCACCGAAACACAGCATCTCCGACATGAGAGCAGCCGATCTGACGCAGCTGAACCCGTCCGACAAAAAGCTGGACGCTGCTGTAGGAATAAATACCAGAAAATGAACTGAGATAGAAGAGATTCACTGAGCCTTCAGATTTTTACTTCGTTTTCAGCCAATTAGAAAGAAAAGCGCTTCGTTCAGAAGAGAAACAGAGAAAAGGTTTTTGTTTCAGCAGGTCTTCAGTTTAACGTAGTGAAAAGGGTGGGGTTATTTTAAAGCGGGGCCACATGTGGCTCTTTGGGGCCCCCCCGGGCCCCCTTTGAATCATTCAGCTCTTCTGTTTGTTTCCAGGTAGAATATTGATATCAGGGCAGCAGCAGCACGACGCTTTAAAAAACATTTTTATATTTCATATTACAGCGACTCCCTCAGCCGCCATGATAGTAAAATAAATGCCTTTTATTTATTTTTTTAAGTTTTAGTAAAGCATTCTTCCCTTTAGAGAAAATCCTCTGATTTTCCTTTAAGAACTCAAATGAATTTAGAATTATATAAAATTCCTTCCTAGTTTCTGGATAAATGTAAAATCCTCCTGGCTTTCAAACAGGAAGAAACC